AAAAAAAGCGATGAAAAAGTTTTGACGCGCATGTGTGTCAAGTTGTCGTGAAGGTGTTGAAGAGGTAATCTTCATGAAGAAGTTGATGTTATAGGTATGACCACAGCGAGCGCTCAAGCTAGCTATTCTTCATTTTGCGGAGGATCACCTCGCTTGAACGCTCGCTGCTGATTCAGGCTTAGACATTGGAAAAAGTTGACGACAAATCGGTTGATGTTTGTCAATTTGTGTATGCATGTATGCGGACATGAGTGTATATGTATGTGTGTATGTATGTGTGTATATGCATTGAAGGTGCATCTGTATGAGTATGTATGCGTGTCTACGTGTTCTTTGTGTATGCGGATCTATAACTCTGTTTCCTTGGCCTAGAGTATTCAATTTCGGAGTATAGTGGTAAGACTGATTGGTAAGTGGTAACAATTGATAGGAGCTGATCATGAGCCATTGAAGGCAACAGACTTTGAGCAGTTGCGCCCTTTGCATACTATCCGAGTTCTGGCACTTGATGTAGGGTGTAACATGAGCGTGAAGTACTGGTGATAGAAACTGATAACAAGTGATACACGCTAGTAAAATAGAAGGTAAAAGCCACTCCATTCTCCATGCCTTACGGGTCAATGGTGAGACTCTGCCGCTTCATTAAGTGCTGTGGGGGAGAAGCGATGGGATAGCAGACGGTTGGCAACAGAACGCGATAAACAACTTCCCAACAAGGACTGACAAAGATGGTGCTAGGAAGCTATTTCCCCTTCTTTACCAGCAGCTCAACTTCGCCAATCTAGAATGTTTAACCCATTCAAGACAATGCATGTGGACTACACATTTTTGGCCGTGTGGGACGGTGCAGTGTGGACTGCGAATGTATATTTTGCTTTATTTATTTTCATTTCCACGCTATATTTTTAGCGGTCTCCCTCCTCAAAACATAAAATCAGGTCTAAGTGAAGCTACATACTGCATGGTCCCAGGAAATCAAACATCCTGCTTATATTTATGCTTTTGATTTCTGGAGTATATCAACGTTCCGCGCTAAACTGGATTGTTTGATACCATACCGGTGTTTTTTCGAAGGAACATCTGGCCTTAAGTGAATTCTTCCTCTGAAAAGAATTAGTGAGTGAGGAAGTGCTCTTCATCAGAATCCATCAGCAGCTGACTAAAATTCAACTTCCGCCTACCATCACCGTCGAGAGCATTGGACCTTTACGAACTTCGTAGTTACAGTGGCGCATTAGCATTCTGATAGAGATGTAGGGTAACAGCGATTAGGGGATGCACTCGCCAGTTTAATGGGCGGAATCCATTATTAGATTCTATCACCGAAGATTCAAGCTGTTCAGAATTCTCTGAGCTGTAGACTCTTCCATTAATAACCTCGGTTTTGTCGCCACCCTACCTTTGTACTTCTTCATTGTAACCATGAGGATATGATGATGTGGGAACCGCCTTAGATTATGTCCCATACCATCTACACTGCAGTAAAAGCACGATTGGGAACCAGTTACATTTACAACAAAAAGTAGTACAACTGGGTGGACACCGCGGAAGCTCCCAGTATATAAGCCAAGGAACGAATGGCATCAACATCCTCAAACCTTTCAGCACTTCCCACATCATGAACAGCTTCGTAGTAGTCGCCCTAGCTGTTTTAGCTTGCACCGTCTTATCCGATAGTAAGTCATCACAATTACTCGATAAAAACCACCTTTGACATCCACGACTAACCAATAAAACATCGCTTTCAGAACGCTACTATAGCCATGGCTCTGGCGAGTTCGGCGAGGGTCATCACGGAAAAAATCATGGTTCTTCGTACAACAAGGGTTACACCAAAGGGTTCGAAAAAAAGGGATACGGTGAATACGGCAGTCACAAGTACGGTGGGTGGAAAAACTATGCTAGAGGCGAGGAACGAGGATCACAGTATGGTAAGCCGATACTAACCAGTAAGTCACGGTCTTCAAAAATTATCGCTGAATTTCAGGATCCGAATACGACAGAGACCACGAGCATGACGAGCACCATTACGAAGGACATCGCAAGGGATACAAATACTTCACTGATGGACACAACGACCACGATCAACCGAATCACGACCATGACAATGGCCACGGTCATGGTTATGTCCACGAAGTCAATCCGTCAAACCAACATGGCGATCATCGTGGCAATCACGATCATCATGCCGAACCTGGCATGTCTTCTAGAAATCAGCACCGCGGTAAGGATGTGAAAGCTTGGGTTGGGTCAATCACAACACAACACTTTTCAATCGTTCCGTCAATCGAACTGTTACAGGCCGTAGAGACGATTGCGGGCATCAACGCTACTAAACTAGTACTAGATCCGATGAAGCTGACAAATAATGTTTTGGATGCTAATGTAAATAAATTCAAGACATCAATAAACATATGTATTACATATTCCTTTTGCTACTGATGCACCATATCCAGAACATCTATTGATCACTCCCTGGCCGAAAATCAAGAATGGCATCACCCTTTTCCGCTGATTGTGAGCACCTACTCCAAGATAATCCCTCGGCCTATTCCGCACATAGAAGAAATAACTCGAAGACTTGGTCGGCACAGTGGTACGTTGGCCGTGCTACCACAAATTTTTAAACGAAACTCATATCGGGAAGGCGGTTTTCGAAATGGAGCATATCTTATAGAATGAAGAAGATCAGGAGAACGAAATTAAGGATTGACTCGCAGAAATTTTTTAATCTAGGATAATTCTAGGAAAAATAGAACGATGACGAAGTCACTCAAATCTCAAAATCTTCGAATGGTCGAAGATGGTGGCCCGCTGTGAGCCAGTATGTTCGCCACAATCCCGCCAACAAGCTTACGAAATTCTGGAACCTACAGCTCCAAATTCTGGAAGGAGGTTCGCTTTAGCTTGCCCATGGCGCTGTCAAGTGAATAATGTCTTCCTACCCTATTCACGGCCACATTTTCAATGAATGATCACCCTGTTTCCGTACCCCATAACCTGCTCGATGGTAATTGTTTACTGCAAGCCCTGTCATGCATTTAACGGATACTAGATAGAGCCAAATCTCTTGAATCTCACCAACCGCGGATTCTATTAAAACATTGCCAAAAACTTCAAAAATTACAGTGATTTAGAATTACAGTCGCTATTTGGCACCTTCTGTTGATCACAGTCCCAGAAATTGAAAACAGACGACCAAATATGTTCAAATGTTATCAAACATATCCAACACAATATCCTTCACCGAACTATTTCTGCTATCCAGTTTAAAGTTCATGTCTATTTCTCAATACAAAAAATAAACCCAAAAAATTCTACTCAAAAGGCAATGTACTAAATAATAAACTACAACTCAAAATAAAAGGGAAAAAAGAATAAAAGTAAAGAAGTAAATGAACCCGAACTCAAATTGAATGCAACAACGTACTTTGACGGCGATCTTGACTCAAAAGCGAAGAAACATCTGCCGGTGTTTCTTCCATCATACACGAAAGCAGCAATTGCATACAATCAAGGATATCTGGATCATCAACAGCACTCATCAATGGTAATCGACCGCTCGAGTCCTACAAAACAGTATACGGTAAATCGAAACGGAGATTCCCATGAATAAATTATCCAGATTCTTCGCTGTACCCATTAATGGTGAACATAGTCGGAAGTCTTTCCGCAACTTAGTACCTTTTTGAGAGCCTTCGTACCAGTAATGACAAAATAGAACAAATAAAATTAATAATTCAATAATTTACTCCTTAACGCTTACCTTAATCCACATTGAACCACTGCCATACCCAACAAAACTCAACATGAATTCAATCAGACCATTTCTCAGTGCAATGTGCAAAGCCCTGCAATTTGCATATTGGAAGTAAGTGAGTAAAAGACGAATTGTACACTTTTATGTTGTAACATCCAACGCTCAGATTTATTAGAAAGATATGCTATGCAAGTGAGTGCTTCATTGAGGCATTCGCACAATGTGGAAAGATTCGAAGTTTAGTGGAAGATTACGGTAATTGCTGTAATCTCCCGCTTGCTGTGGGAATTCGGTTACAGAATCGTCACTCTTCAACCGAGCAGGAATCATTCCTTATAGTTTCAATAATAGGGAAAAAGGGACCAATTAAGAATGACTACTAAATGAGCAAGAACATTTCTTTCGGATAGTCTGCTATCCCTGAAAGCGTAAAGAGAGAAACTCATGAGGGAATATTCAATCCGAGAACCGCACTCACTAAGCCACCTCAGGCTCTGCGCTATATCAAGAACTAGTGTGAATTTTATCATCATAACTTATGAATCCTGGAAAAGCCAGGAATAACGATCTCATAAAATCAAACAAGAACAATCGCAAGTACTGTGTTTTGCATTGCTAAAGAACAGAATAGGAACCATAATTATTGCAAAGGAGATCTGCGAAAAAACAGCCATAAGACTCTAAAAAAACCGCTGAATTCTGGACAGTGGTCTGGTTCATCTCGCTGCTTTGGTAAAAAACGAATAATGAGGTGCCAGGTGGCTAGGATGTGAGGGAGGCTGGCACTTCCTAGTGTAACTCAAAGTTAGAAAACAGTAAATTCCTAGGCACTTGCACGAAGTAATCAGTCTTCCGAATGATCTTTTTGTTTTTGGCCAGCACACCTCTGCTGCCAGGTGGTACCGTAAACTGAGCAAGAGCTACACGAAATTAAGTACCAGACATCTTTGGACCACTACAAAGAGAAAAAAGACGCTTAACAGGATTCCAAATTT